GATGTGTCTCATATCATCAGAAACAGACGAGCATGTGCTCAGTTTGCTCAGTGATGCAAGTGAGTTTGTGTTGATGCATGTGAATGTGTGCAGAGAGAAAGTGTTTTCTAGGATTCAGCGGCCGTGCTGTCTGACGTAGCGGCATGAACTGGAGATTTCGTGTCGTTTCATCAGACGCACTCAAAGGCTGCTGAGGGCCCATGGACGGATGGCTTGCTTGTAAATAACAGAAGGCCATATTCAGATCACGTGACCTCGTGCACTCTGGGCTTTCCTCGCTAAGAAGAGAAGTGAAGAAACACATAGAGAAGGAAAGAAAGAAAGGGAGATGGAAGTGTTTTCTAGGATTCAGCGGCCGTGCTGTCTGACGTAGCGGCATGAACTGGAGATTTCGTGTCGTTTCATCAGACGCACTCAAAGGCTGCTGAGGGCCCATGGACGGATGGCTTGCTTGTAAATAACAGAAGGCCATATTCAGATCACGTGACCTCGTGCACTCTGGGCTTTCCTCGCTAAGAAGAGAAGTGAAGAAACACATAGAGAAGGAAAGAAAGAAAGGGAGATGGAAGGATGCAGACAGAAGTGTATTATTCATGCGCAGGAAATGAGAGGATGAAGGAGAGACGTGTTTCTGCAGGTGTTGAGAGCGTCTCTGTCCCTCACTGCCGGTATTAATATTTCATACTGAAGGGATTGTCTTCATGCGCCGGATGTGTGTGTGTATACGAGGGATTCTTCTCTCTTGGTAGGATCACAGATGGATTTTCCAGCTGGACTGATGACTTTATTACAGATGTTTCGTTTAGCGCTTCCTTCTGCGATCCGTTTGTTGAAGTTAGGGAATATCGAGGCTGATAACGAGTCATTTAACTCTTTGTGTTTTAATCTTTACAGCTGGAGTCTAATTGGCTAGCTAATAAGTCAGGTTCAATGGCAGCAACACAAGCTTTGTGTTCACATGCTGGCTAAACATTAACATCTGTGTGTTTGTCTATACAATATGTAGGGTTTGTTGCATCTGGGCACCAACTTTTAACCCTATAAAGCCTGTATTGCTCAACTAAATGATCAACATCAAAACTTTGCTGTTAAACCTGTTGCACACAATCTACTTCATGCCTTCTGTCATCTGATTGATAATTTAGACTTTTTAAGCAAGTAAAAGGCCTTTTAGTACAAACGTCCAGCTTCAGCTGGTGCTTCACGTGTTTTTTGCTGTCATATCTGATTTTTATCACGTAAGCGTCAGAATAACGTCAGTAATATCTCCAGTTGAACACTTACTGCACTGAAGCAGCTCAGCTTTACTTGATTCTCCATCAATCATGTTTTAGAGTCTCAAATCTGATCCTCAGGATCTTTTGAGGAACGTTATCTTTAATTCAGATTCACATTACGCTTTCTAAAACCATATGAAATGAAAGATTAGATTTACAAAAAAAAACACGACTTTTAAATTAGATTGTTACAGTGTTTTTCCTTCCATCCTTTTGTTTTGCATTGACTCGTAAAAGTTTTTCATAAACATAAGAAACCAACACAAATCGAGATAAAGCATGACGATTACATTTCTAAAAACTTTGCACAGCTAGGTCTTATTTGTTATTGTCCACAGTATGAGTGAAGCCTGACAGACAGCTGATGCTGATGTGTCTCATATCATCAGAAACAGACGAGCATGTGCTCAGTTTGCTCAGTGATGCAAGTGAGTTTGTGTTGATGCATGTGAATGTGTGCAGAGAGAAAGTGTTTTCTAGGATTCAGCGGCCGTGCTGTCTGACGTAGCGGCATGAACTGGAGATTTCGTGTCGTTTCATCAGACGCACTCAAAGGCTGCTGAGGGCCCATGGACGGATGGCTTGCTTGTAAATAACAGAAGGCCATATTCAGATCACGTGACCTCGTGCACTCTGGGCTTTCCTCGCTAAGAAGAGAAGTGAAGAAACACATAGAGAAGGAAAGAAAGAAAGGGAGATGGAGGGATGCAGACAGAAGTGTATTATTCATGCGCAGGAAATGAGAGGATGAAGGAGAGACGTGTTTCTGCAGGTGTTGAGAGCGTCTCTGTCCCTCACTGCCGGTATTAATATTTCATACTGAAGGGATTGTCTTCATGCGCCGGATGTGTGTGTGTATACGAGGGATTCTTCTCTCTTGGTAGGATCACAGATGGATTTTCCAGCTGGACTGATGACTTTATTACAGATGTTTCGTTCCTTCTGTCCTTCTGCGATCCGTTTGTTGAAGTTAGGGAATATCGAGGCTGATAACGAGTCATTTAACTCTTTGTGTTTACAGCTGGACAGCTGGAGTCTAATTGGCTAGCTAATAAGTCAGGTTCAATGGCAGCAACACAAGCTTTGTGTTCACATGCTGGCTAAACATTAACATCTGTGTGTTTGTCTATACAATATGTAGGGTTTGTTGCATCTGGGCACCAACTTTTAACCCTATAAAGCCTGTATTGCTCAACTAAATGATCAACATCAAAACTTTGCTGTTAAACCTGTTGCACACAATCTACTTCATGCCTTCTGTCATCTGATTGATAATTTAGACTTTTTAAGCAAGTAAAAGGCCTTTTAGTACAAACGTCCAGCTTCAGCTGGTGCTTCACGTGTTTTTTGCTGTCATATCTGATTTTTATCACGTAAGCGTCAGAATAACGTCAGTAATATCTCCAGTTGAACACTTACTGCACTGAAGCAGCTCAGCTTTACTTGATTCTCCATCAATCATGTTTTAGAGTCTCAAATCTGATCCTCAGGATCTTTTGAGGAACGTTTGTTTCCAGAAGCTTTACTTTCACTGTTCCTCAGCGGAGGAATGATCTTCACAAGCCTCCAGAACATCTCACATCTTCTGAGGAGTCTTTATTTCTTCAGCTCTCAATCACTGCATTATATGTTCTGATCATTTCAATCTCATCTCACTGAGACAGATTACTGGAGATATAGAGCGACGACTTTTATTTATAGCATTTTATGTCAATATCTGTTATAAAGATCTTATTGATTTACATTAAAAGCATCAGAATTTCATCATATAAATATCAGCATCTGCACCAAATTGCATATTTTTGCTCAGTTTCAGTCTCTGAATAAAATGTTGCTGTTTTTACTTCATTCTTTCAATATTTCAGATTATATGAGCCATAAAAGCCGGATATATCAAATATATCACGCATACTTTTTTGTCAAAAATTTTGATAAATTTAAAAAATATATTTTTTTAGATGAATATTATATAATATATAATGTTTTAAATTTCTGTTTAAGTTAAAATATCAAATGATATATTGAATTTAATATGTACAATGTAATATACTTTTTTTGTATTACAGAAATTCATTCCAGTGTATTATTCATTCCAGTAATCAATTCCAGTGATTATTTAGAAATGTTTTATTGGCATGTAAATAATGTCATGATGCAAAAAAATCGCATTAATTCTAAAAAGTCATGTTCTGTATTCTTAAGATTATCGTTATTTTGAATGTTGATTCTCATTATGCTCTAATTACTGTAATATTTTAATTTTTTGTATTACAGTAATACATATAATATACTGATTTAAAATTAGATTTTAATTTTATGTATAATAATGAATTAAACTGACGTGTTTTTAATTATATCATACTGCATGAGCCATAAAAGAACGATGTATCAAATATGATAACATAAAACAATATGCATATTTGTTTTGTAAATTTTGTCTAAAAGGTAAATAAATTGTTCCATTAAAAAAATTTAATAATAATAATAATAATATATATATATATATATATACAGTGTTGGGAAGTAACTAGTTACATGTAACTAAATTACATAATTTAATTACAAAATAAATGTGATTGTAATCAATTGTAATCTGTTTTTGGGATTATGTATTTGCTTTATTTTTTAAGATGAACTGTTTTTTTTCAAGGCATTGTTAGATGCCAGTGCTTCCTGTTTCCTATGCAAAGATTTGATTTCTAAAACAGTATCATAGCTATTAAACTATTTCTTGTTAGGATTTTAAATCTGTATTTAACCTCAGAATGATCACAAAGTGAAAATAGGTGTTAAAGTCTGATTTTGTGGTGACTGTGCTTTCAAATGAAATGATTCTAATCTTAATTCAAGTGATAAAGGATTTGGAAAGTCTGACAGTAATCAGTGTTGAGTGCTACTGTAAGGTTTACCCTGCCTAGTTTACATATTTGAAAATAATTAACAATTGAAAACATTAGAAATTTAGAAAAGTAATCAAATGTAATCAGTTACATTAATAAAGTAATTGAAACAGTTCCACTACTTATTACATTTTAAACAGGGTAACTTGTAATCTGTAACCTATTACATTTCCAAAATAACCTTTCCAACACTATATATATATATATATACTGTATATATAGATAGATATAGATATTTTTTTCCGACTATAATTTCATATGTCAGGCTGTCAGGGTTAAGATCGGCTGTGTGCCTGCAGAAAACACATTAAACTAACCAAACTGCTGTAAGACGTCAGTAGATCTCTTGTTCTGAGATTAGTTCTATCGTGTGTGTGTGTGTGTGTGTGTGTGGATGGGTTTGAGACTGCTGCCAGGTGTTAGTGCTGCTGTTGGCCTGTTTTCAGACAGAAGACTTGATTTATTTGTACCAGAGTAAGCTGAAAGAAATGCATTTACACCAGACAATCTTCTTATGTGATGCCACTCGTTTGAAACCATGTTATACGGCTGGTCTGACGCATTACCTCAGCCTCGCTTTACTACAGTGTGTGTCGAGGGAAACTTCATCGAGTGAAAGGTGCTGGAGTTTAATTTCACGCAGCAGACAGAATATATTCTGTTTCCTTTCATACTTTTATCCTCGTCTGACTGACAGACAGCTCTCTCTCAGCATCTCTCTTTCTCTCTCGTCCCTGGAATGACTTTGTATTAATGAGAGTGTGATCACGAGTCAGCTGGGCTTTCAGCTCTCGGCAAATACACAAACAATCCCTCCCTCCACACACACACACACACACACACACACACACACACGCACTCAGTCTGTCGCTCTCACAGACACCATTAGCACGGCTCTGTGGTGGAAATAGAAAGCTAGAGATAAAGAGAGAGAGACAGGAGGATCAAAAGAAAAACAAAGAGGGCAAACAGGTGGACCTAGGAAGAGAAACAGCAAACTATTCCTCAGACTACAGGTACGTCACTTTAAACCTCCGTCTTGAAGCTCAGAGCCGCCGTAATGCTGAATTCACAACTTCTGCAAACAAGGTCTCAGAAAGAGATTTGTGTGTCTTCTCTGAGAAAGCTTGAGCAGATGTCTCCTCAGATCCCGGAATAAAAAATAATGCAAGTTCAAGTTTTTCCAAAGTGTTTTGCTCTGGTTGGAGAGCATGCCTGAAGGTTATGGGTTCAATCTCAAGAAAACATGTCCAAGTGACATTTCACCACCTTATAGTTTGCATTTAAAAAAATAAATGCCTATTTTTATGTTTTATGGTATTACATTAAGCATGTATCATTATTCTGAATGTTGATTTTCATTAGATTGTAATTACCGTAATTTTTTTATATTACAGTACAAATACTATGTTATAGTTAATTTATTTTTAAATGTATTTTTAAATATTAAATGTTATATCTATTTAATATTGATTATATTTTTGCATTGCAGTATATGTAATTTTTTTTCATTAATTAATTTTTAAATGTATTTTTATATATTATTTAATATTATATTAGATTCGATTAGAGATTACAAGTTATTTGGAAATATGTTTAGTTGTCAAGAAAATAATGTCAATGCAAAACATCTTATTGACCCTAAAAGGTATTTTCTTAATTTTTAAATTTATCGCTATTTTGAATGTTGATTTTGATTTCATTCTAATTGTTGTAATATTGTATTTTTTGTTACAGTAATAAATATGCAATGTTTTCAATTTAAATTTTATTATTAAATTGAAATACCTATTTTTTTTACACATTTAAAATAAAAAATCGAAACATTTTTATATAACATTGTTTTATATGTAGGCTATATATTATACATTGTTTTGCATTACAGTAACTACAGATTGCGTGAAAATGTTTGATTGTCGTTAAAATAATTTCAGAATGCAAAAAATCTTGTGGATTCTGAAAATCTTTACATTTATCGTTATTCAACACGTTGATTCTCATTCAAGTCTTTTTACTGTAATATTGTAATTTCTTTTGTATTACAGTAATACATATTATATAATGTTTTAAATTTCGATTTTGTTTTTAAATGTAAATATTTAATATTATATATTGCTTTAAATATATATGATATATATTGTCACATCAAAGTGATGATAATTTGTGAATGTCCGAAAATAATGTCAGACTGCAAAAAGTTCAGAAATTTCTGAAATCTGAAATGTTCTATTATCGTGGAATATCATTTCTTATTTTTGGAGTGAGATCTGACATGTTTCGTGAGATTCACCGGTCGATGTTTCTCGTGTTTTTCTTTACGTCTCGGACGGGATGATGTAAATGACATTGTTATGCACGAAAGCATGCACTTCCTGTTTAAACTTCAAAGTGTTTCCTTAGAAAAGCATTTAAACGGGTTCGCCGTGGTCCACCTTTTATCTGTGCGGGAACATCCCCTCTGGGACGACAGGAGAGAGAGCGAGAGAGAGAGAGAGAGATCAAGCCAAAGCAGCTAAACGAAGAGTGTTTTACCTTCCTCCTTATCAACATACATCTCATGCTCCTCCTGTCCTGACAGTGACAGCTGAAAACCTCTCTGCAGATCTCAGCGGCTTGCGTCTTCTTTTGAGAGCGCCTCGTGTGTGTGAGTGTATCGTCTGCATTCAGACTTCATGTGTGTGTGTGTGTGTGTTTTAGAGAGGCCGTTTTTCCCAGGGTGGTGTGTGAAGTGGGTCGTTCCTGACTGGAATGAGAAATAGCGGGGTGTCGTGTGACCCTGCGAGTTCCGAGCATCGGGCCTCAACGCCGCTGCTGTTGCCATAGTTATCGGTTAACCTATCAGAACGAGTCCTGCTCAGATGAACCATCTCTGGCCGTCCTTCTCTCACTTCCAGGCCAAGTTATGACTCGATTGTTAGGAGACGTGAGTCACTGTTATTTTATTTTGTAATGGAGGCTTTGCTGTTAATGGAGGTTAACCTGGAACATTCCTTCGGTTTCTTTATGTTCAGCACATAGCGAGGCGCTAATGAAAAAATAAAGATTCTTTATTGGCTTTGATGGTTCCATTAAGAACCTTTAACATCCATGGAATCGTTCCAATCCACAAAGGGTTCTTTATAGTGGAAAAAGTTTCTTTAGTATGGAAGCTTCTTTCCGCCATGTCATTGTGACTTTAAATCTCACAATTTTCTCAGAATTGCAAATTTATATCTTACAATTCGGTCTATTTTCTCAGAATTTGCAAGTTTATATCTCATAGTTTGGACATCTTTCTCAGAATTACGAGTTTTTATCTTACATTTCAGTCTTTTTTATCTTTTTTATAAAATATCTCACATTTCAGACTTTTTTTTCTCACAATTGCGAGTTTATATCTCATAGTTTGGACTTTTCTCTCAGAATTTGAAGTTAATATTTCGCATTTCAGCCTTTTTTTCCTCAGAATTTGCACGTTTTTGTCTCACAGTTTTGACTTTTTTTCTCAGAATTGTTTATATCTCATATTTCACAATTCTGTCTTTTTTCTCAGAATTGCGAGTTTATATCTCATATTTCAGACTTTTTTCCCTCAGAATAGTGAGTTTATGTAACAGTTCTGTCTTTTTTTCTCAGAATTGTGAGTTTATATATCATAATTTTGACTTAGTTTCTAAGAATTGTGAGATCTCACAATGGCGAGAGGAAACAAGTCAGAATTGTGAGATAAAAAAAATCATATGTACCTTTTTTTATTTTTTAATGCTGTGGTGGAAATAAGCTTCCATAGTTTAGATTATTAAAAACTTCTTTGCACTAAGACAAAACGTTTCTTTTAATAAGAACTGATCTCGGAGGAACCAGAAATGCTTCTTGAATGTCATCGCTGTGAAAACTCTCTTTTGGAAGCTTTAATTTGAGAGTGTGAGAGCAGCTGATGTTGTCAGTGGAGATTAATCTCCCGTGGATCTGGTCGACTATGTGGGAACTGGTGGTTATATACACATCCAAACACAAAAGCATGCTGGGTAGAGGTGCAGGGGGTTGTTGCATTTCTCTGTCTGTTCTGTTCGATTCCCTCTTTTCATTCAAGCAGCTTGAGGCCGCTTTCTCATACATTGGGTCGCTAAGGTGCAGGAGGCCGATGGAGAATAACAGCCCTGCTTGCGTAAGGAACACACAAACACACACACACACACACACACACACACACACACACACACACACACACACACACACACAGACACACACAAACACACACACACACACACAGACACACACACACACAGACAGA